TATGTTAGTTAGTCACTTATAGGTGTTCATAACACTAACAAATTTCATGCAAGCACTGCTAATAGGTATAAAAAGGATAAATAAAATTAGTAAATGGATTAGCAAATGTAAAATTAGCAAGTACAAGGCTATCTTTTATTTAATTTGTACAAAGACCTAGGCAATTTAATCTTTAAAAAAAATACCTATTTATCTATATTCTACTATTATATAGAGAGCTCTATACTTTTTTTTTATTGTCGCTCGACAAGATGACTCCATGACGCCTGATGGTAAGCGACAGTGGAATCCAGAATGAGATGCATCGGTTCCGGGACTTGATCTCGATTCCGATCAACCTATATATAGCTTTATACTTTTATATAGAGTTGGAGAGTTCGTTTTTTGTACTAGACTAATTTAATTCAATTATTTGTATATTATATCCTATTTATCGACGAAAATATGTTTACGCTATCTACTTGTAGCATCCAGAACATACTACGCGGGCCAATAAAACGCAGGTAATACTAATTTATGATATGACAGATGTATGATTTTTTTTATTGAGATAATACACACACATATAAACATACATATATACATAAACATGTTATAAATGTTATTTCACCATAGAAATCTAACATACTCGTAAATTGTCCAAAACCTAATTTAACGCAAAAGCACTAGGTATATGTAATAGACCACAATAATATGCATTTCTCCATCCTGGTAAATTACATTGTTAGGTAGTCTCAGCAAAGTTGTACTAAAATATTCGTCCGTGTGCGACCTAGAACGTATTAGTCAAAGCTTTGTGTTCCGATTTATTTACTTTGCGTTCGCCTTTAAAAGCAGCGGTTGTACATTTCTATTTTCACAGTGTCATCATTTCCTCACGAATGAAGTTAATCTATTTGCTGAGGAAATTCGTTTTAACGCTCCGTTAATTGATTGTGACAATATCATTGCTTAGTATCATATTTATATATTTTTTAAAGGTTATAAATATTTTTATCTTTATACAATAGGCAGGTAGTTTAGTATATATATACTTTATTTACTATTGACGAATGAATGTATGTATATATATATATATATATATATATATATATATGTTTATCTGTAAACTAGTTTTAAAGGGAATTTACTTTCACTTCGGTCAGATCCCTTGGTACGCATATTTAGCGTTGCTATAGTTTAAAAGATCTTTTTAAGAGGAATAATTCTGTAATACATTGTTGTTCTAAAACTGTATTGGCTTACGTGGCCAATAATGCTGGCAGTCGGGATGATCTTCAACAGGCACGCACATAATGTATTAAACACCTATTTCTCACCTATCTTCCGTCCGTTCGGAGGATTTGAGTTTATCACGTTCAGACAGACAGACGCAACAGACTTTATTTTATATATAACTAGCATTGCCCGCGGCTCCGCCCGCGTTCAGATGACCAAAAACTAAATTCTTAGGTGTTACATATTAGTATACTCTTACATTGCAGTTTTTGTATTTTTCCTCAGAAATAAGATATTTTCCCGCGGTAAAAAGTATCCTAGGATCGCGCGCTACATCGCCCGGTTTATATAGCTTGAGCAGGCGGTCGAGCGATGCGGGGCAGAGGGGATGGACTCGCCGTAGGCATCTCAATGCTCGCCAAGCATTAAAAATGTTTCGCTACTAATTACTTCTAACAACGATATCTCAAAAACTATTCATCTGATTGATTTAGTGTAAAGAGCAATTTTAATCTGCATTAAATGACTAAGCTAACTAAAATATTCATTTGGATAAGGATTAATACCGAACTAAAGAAAATAACTTTGAAAATAACGTAATGTTTTTAATTAAAAATGTTAACATAAAAGTGGTTATTGTAAGTCAACCGTAAGAGATAGAGATATGCTATCGCGGACTTTTTTGTAGCATTTTTATAGATTTTGAATTCTCTAGTACATTACTTAACTGTATCTTTGCTAGTTTACGCGGCGTTCGCGTGGAAAGTTCCCATTTGGCGAGATTTTTTGCGACCTCTTCAACATTTGTCGCCGTATTTCAGCTAATTTACATAAAAGCATAATAAATTATATACCTAAACCTTCCTCAAGAATTACTCTTTCTATTGTTGAAAACCGTATAAAAATCCGTTCAGTAGTTTTCGAGTTTATCGCGTACAGACAGACAGGAGGACAGAAAGACGCGGCCGGGGGACTTATTTTTATAATAAGTATAGATATGTAGTGATTGTCATAATTAATCCCAGTATATGAATCTTGCAATTTTTATAAACACAAGTTAAAATAAAACCAATGTAGCTTAAACTATAATATTTCTAATAAAGAAGTTTTATATTTTCAAATTTATTTTAAAAACTTAGACGTACCTATAGCAATTTTATATTTCTCTATTCTATAGGATAAGCTTTGTAGTTTAATAAGCCGTGTGCTCTGATGCCGTCGTGTGCCAAATGCAGGCATCTGAAGTTACTGTTATTGCAAACTATGTAAATATAAAATCTACGTGTATATTTCATAAAACTGAAATCCCTACTGTAGAGTGTATTTGTTTGTTTGTACTGCTCTTACACAGAAACGTAATAACATAAAAGTGTTTTTTAGGGATCCGTACCGGAAGGGGTATAATAGAATAAAAAAATATTCTATATCACTACCAAGCCTATAAATAATCCCTATTTAAGAATCACGTCGAATTGTTGCTCCATTGAAAGAAGGAAAAAGAAACAAACAAAATTTTGTCATTACAATAATGTCCTCACAATCCTTACTGGACCTGGACTATGGCCTGATTCCCCTCATATTGAAGGGAAATCCGTGCCCAGTAGTGGGACGCTGAATTCAATCCTTACAAACGGCTTATACAATAAAATGCGCGAGCGAAGGCGCGGGTAAATGCTAGTAATAAAATAAAGCTTTGTAGAACATTAACTTTTGTAGAAAATGTAACTTCCGACTATATCAATAAAATGTTTCTTCATTGTTTTGGCCTATGTATTTAAACTTAAATAGCTGTAATTATAACTAGTTTCATAACTAAGTAAGCAACTTTTGAAACTCAATGAGCTATTTAATTTAACTTGAGGGCTGTGTATGTTTCTCATAATTGTTGTTTGTTTGTTTGTTTGTTTCTCAGAAGTATGTAAATTTTCACGAATATTAATACTGCGTAATGTAGAAATTACAAACACGTAATATATTATAAACATCCACTCTATTTACTTTACATCGAATCGAATCGATCGAATTTAAATTTCATGATGATGATCATGAATATTTTTTTAACATGAACAAGACATATATAGTAAGATTTGCAAAGTGAAATGAACTCTAATATAAAGGTTTAGCTTCCATGATATGACGACACACTGCCGTCCGTAGTAGTTGAACTGTTTGACGGTAGGACAGTATCACTCTTATATATAGATATGAAGATAATATTAAATTTATTTTCTTCTACAATTGATTTTATTTAAGCCCCGCATTACGAGCGTACTAGTTGCAGTGCTTTCAATCGTTCGGGGCTGATTGAAGGCCGGATGTATTGTTACTGGAACACATGCAAAAGCCAAAAAAAATGTCATCGAGAAACCCTGATCATGTGGCGATCGCATCGATGGTTTGGGTCGAATATATTTCAACTCTGAGTTAAGTTTGTTCTTGGATGTTAATGATTTTGCAAAGTGTATTTACACATAGGTACCTACCATTTTATAATATACATATAATACTAGTTACGTTTTAACGTTTAGTTAGATATTTTGCCACAGTAAAAAGTATCCTATGTATTGACCCGGATAACCAACTATCATCATACCAAATTGCATCAAAATCTGTACAGTGGTTTTCTCGTGATGCGATACCATACAGAAATACAGACAAAAATTCTAAAAACTATAGATTTGGCCTCTGTATCGATAACAATGACTATTTCAATAAGATTTTCTAAAAAATATTTAATGTACAGATTCGGCTCAGAATTTTATTATACATGTATTTTTTGATACTACTACACCTATTATGGTTTGTTAGTTACTATAAACTTGCAGTATCGTTTTGGGCTGCATTGAATCGCATGAAAATCACACATGCAGATAGATAGAAGACAGACAGATGAACATTTTATTAGAAGTTTGAGCTTTGCTATCGTGCAAATATGAGCTCAATATGGTAAATTTATTTTGAAATCGAACAAAACGTATCGTAAACTTTTATTATAAGTGAATGTTAATGCTTTTATTTTTTACCAACTAAAACTCAACACTTTAAGCTTTTTAAAGTAGGTACGTGTATTTGGTTTTGTTTTGCTAATTCTAGACCGATTTTTTTATCATTTTTTACTTAACAAGCTATAACCTCAACTATGGTTTATTATAAATTACAACAACAAAATCTAGTTTCAAGAGTTTAAATATCGATGTGCTATTTTGTTTGATAAAAATCCTAGATTCTTGGATTCAGGGTGACATCTGCCAAAGTTAAAGTATTAATTTCTTTTTAGATTATTAAATAAAACTATCTTTTCGGATTATTTCGCGGATTTATTTTGATTTTTGGTTCCCGACGTTTCGAATGCTTTACAGCATCCATGGTCACGGGAGAGACTGAGGTGTTACATGTCTTGAATGTATAGTTGTTACAGACAGCCTACCCACAATTAACAAAATGAACTTTCATTTTGTTAATTGTGGGTAGGCTGTCAAACATTCGCGTAAATCTAAGAAAATATTATTCTTTTTAGATAATGATGATGATTTTTTCATTTAAGATTGTAGACTTCACTTACATTCCCATGCAAATGAGGCCAAATAAACAAAGTAGCGTTTATTATAACTTTATTACAGCTATTGTCATATAATTATAATTAATTAAGGCTATTAAAAATGAAAACGGTGGTATATAATTGGTAAATAAAAAAGCTCACAATAATTTTCACTTGACGTTATGTATATAAAAATGAATGAAATTAAAATACAATTATATCCTATGAATAAATAAAATTACTAATTTTTATATGTAATCGATTCTTCCTCTTCCTTCTTCACTGCTTGGATCAGGACTAAGGACATGACGGCGTTGATAACCTATTTGTAAAAGAAGGTAAATTTAATAAATGATTAATTATTTAAGTAATCTTTTCTATACATATAATAAAAGTGTAACTGATCGCTGTCTGTACATGGAAGATCTGTTTGTCTGTGAATGTGTGTGAATCTCAGAAACGGCTTAACCGATTTGGGTTCGGTTTTCCCTAACGTATTGTGGTAAGCTTCACTACTCGTACTACGTTAATAAAGACCCGCACAGTTTTAGTACACGTTGAATATAAATAGTTGACCCGACAGACGCCATCCTGTACAAATTTATTTTTTTTAATCTTTGAGTTCATACGTCTATTAGAAAAAAAAAACAGTTACAGTTTTTTAAGCATTTTTCAATTCTATTTTTTTCCTTTTTTATACTTTACTTTAACAAGAAGATTTTAAAAAACAATTTATCCAAATCGGTCCAGCCATTCTCAAGTGATGCTACGAACGAACTTAATTAAACTTTATAATAAAATCAAAAATTGTATGCTAGCACTATTAATACATACAAATAAACTTGTTTACTTACACAAATCATGCACGAGGCAAGAACAATGCCTGCCAGCCACCCTGTTTTGCCTTCCAAATACCACGTGAGTTCGTCGACGCAACCATGGAAATATGCGTTGCCGGTGACTGAATCACGACATTCAGATGGTAAAGGCTTGTTCAGATTGATGAAGTCTATTGCGCCATCAGCCCCACAACAACCGATCTGATTTAAAAGAACTCTCATGAGAAATATAAGAAAAAGTACATATATATCTTTATGTCATAAAGAGGGGCTTATTTTTCTTATGACGTTGCTTCCAATTAGTTGGTAGTTTTCATTCTAGAAGTAAACTTAAAATATATTGCTTTATTTATAGTATAGATTAGATTAGGTTGTGTATGGCATTTATTGTTATCTAGAAACTTATATTATCTAGCAACTTGGTACCAGTAGTTTTAATCAGTATTTTTTTAGTGACATCGACTGAATTTCCAAGAAACAAAAATTTTGGATTTTTTCTCTCAAGATAACCTTAGATTATTTATATGAATAATCTAAGAAGATAACCTATAAATAATTATTATACAACTTATATCTACCTATATATTCAACGTAAATATGTACTTGTATTTGCGTAAAGTAATAAGCGTGTCATAGATAAAAAAATGATGTCATCAGCGACCTACATGATGTTAGTCTACAATATTTTTCATATTACTTGTGTAAATATATTTTTGACACATTAGTCATTACCTAAAAAAACATATGCTTAAAGAATATTCCTAGAGTAATCTTTTTAAATTATGTGCCGACTTTCAAAAAGGAGGACGTATTTAAGTCCGGTTTACGTTTTATTGCGTATGTTACGCTATATCTTTGCATTTTGAATATCGATATTCATTAAACTTTTCTTATATTATATAATTATGCATCAAGTATGGTCTTCTATTAATTTCAAGAGAAAATTCTACTCGTAAGGTCCAAAAAATGTGAATTCATACTTAGTTAAAAATGTTTTATTATTTATCTATAATCAAATCAGTTTTTAAAATATCTATAATTTTAAAATTAAACTATCGCACTATTTAATTTACACCAGATAGCAAAACCCAATACCCATCGGCTGCGTTCACTAGATTTGTGTTCCAATATTCAATTGGACATCGAAACGAACGCGCCGTCAGGGTCATTTGATTAGTACCGTCCTAACGGCAAACCTATGCCTCGCTTCACGTCCGCTGTCCATTTACAAAATGTGTTTTGGGCAAGGTTTGATTTTCACTCGATACTTCAGAAAACATTGTGTAGTTAAAGAATGTTATGGTCCCGTTTTATCTATAGCTAACGATTTGTTCCAGTTTCTTTGTCCAGGTGATTGCATGGAGAATAACTAGGGATTTTAGTAACAAAAGTATAGTGAAACCTTTGTTCTAACAACAAACTATGATAATATTGTTTGGGCCGTGTTGTGAATGAATGTATATTTTAAATAAATGAAGTGTTTATTTTTATTTTATCGTATAAAGGACTTTTTGTAATATTTTACTTTTTTTTAAGAATATGAAATGAAAATTTGTACGTTTTTATTCAATGGAGAAATTAAAATATTATTGAAATATTATTTCAACGTAGCTTAAACTAAAGGTTTAATGAAAATACACTTACCCCTTCCTGTACCATCCGTAGTATAGTTCTACTGCCTTCATGTTGAGGGTTGTTCATAAGACGTAAGATGACATCTTTGATGAGAGGCTGGATGCTCGAATCGTATGTCGAGAAGTCCAAAACTATACACGCACCGACCAGACCAAACAAAAATAGAGCTATTTGTGTTGCTATGTACTGAAAAAGATAATATTTTCAAATTTCATTTTTTATAAATATAAAATAATCTTAGCTAAATTGTATATGAGAATTACGCTCAGTTGTAAGTGACCCGCGCTCTTTATTATTTCTTGTCCATTATCTTAACTAATTCTTGTGATTTTGCTTATACATGTACTTTATTATATACATATATTGATATATAACTAACAACTCACTCTCGCTCCGCTCTTAGTAAATGATGGCCCGGATAACCAGCTATTATCATATCAAATTTTATCAAAATCTGTCCAGTGGTTCTCGTGATGCGTTCCCAGACAGACAGACAAAAATTCTAAAAACCTTTGGCCTCTGTATCGATAGTAATGACTATTTTAATAAGGCTTTCCAAAAAATATTCAATGTACAGATTCGACTCAAAATTTTAATGTACAGATTTACACTATTTTCAACATAAAATAATCCCCACCTCGCCTTTTACTTAGTTTTCTTAAATTATGGGGCCACACAATCAAAGCAATAGTTTTAGTTCAATTGAAATCTGTGTAGCAATTTTAAAGGAAAATCACAAATACTAAAATGCATGTTTTTAAAATATTATAAAAACACACCTTTACTTATTGAATTAAAAACAATATTACAGATAAATTCTATAATAGACCAATATTTTTAAATTTTCTTATAAATTAGCATTCTCTAAATTTTCTTTTACATTTTTTTAATTCTGTTTCAAAGAGCGCTATAAGACCTCATTAGCAATTAATTAATAAGTATTTAATAACAAAACGAGATTGTCTTTTATTTTAGGTTCTTTAGACATATTATACTTATAAAATAATTGAGAACTTAAGGCTCACCCTCGCTTCGATCGAATTCACCTCTAGAAAAACAAAAACAAATCTATCCCTTGAGAGCCGTATATTTTTCCGGGATAGAAAGTAATCTATGTATTATTCTGATATATAACCTTATCATTGTAAAGTTTTATTAAAATCCATTTAGTCGTTTCGACGTGAAAGAGTAACAGACATCCATACATACATAGGTATTTGTTACCTTTATCCACCTTTGTCTACGTCACTTTCTGTGTATTTTCTGTTTAATTTGCTTAGTTTTATAAAGAATATAATAATATCATTAGGAAGTAGGATAATTGTTTTTTTTTTGTATAATAGGTCTTTCTGCAGCTTTTATTACATGTAGGTATACAAGTACTATTTGGTATATAACTTCACTAAAATTAATCATAATTTCCGCTTTGCAGAGTGAGTTAAAGCTCAAACATGTTCTTATGTACATTAGTACCTACAGTATAACTTTTTAGACTATGGCAGCTATTGTTTATTGTTTTTTAGAATATTCAGCTATACGTATAGAAATGTGTCTTTGAGTACTAAATATCCAAATATTTTCATAAACATTCATAACGATTTTTGTTTTATTATAAAACGACGAGCCCTACACAATTGTTCATCTTTAAAAAGATATATAACTCAGTTTTGTGTATAAAAAATATAAAACCATCTTTATAAAAGATATGAAACTATTCAAAAATTGTTGTCGTGTGTAACTTCGATGCAAAAAAAACTTTTGTGCAAAATTTTTCAGTAATTGCATATAAGATTTTTGTTAAGTGTAATATATTGAATACAGTAAAGATAAAATTTGCTTACCATATAAAGTAATTTAACATTTTCCATAAGAGCGGACCCGCACCCTAGGAACGCTAGCACCATGATGCCGAGTGAACCGATAAGGATGATGTAAATGCCAATAAAATATTTTTGCAACTCCAATATTCTCATCCACTCGTTGAAGCCCGGTTCGATGCATATCCACAAACATAGCGCGAATATTGATACTCCAAATAACTGAAAGGAAAAAATAAATTAATAATCTTAATAACATTTTTATAGGGTCCTAGCGACTCACTCTCGCTTTGCTCGGGTTCGTTCGTAGTTACGTTTTAACGTTTAGTATAGATTTCTCAGAGATGAAATATTTTCCTACAGTAAAAAGTATCCTATATGTATGTCCGAATAACCAGCTATCATTATACCAAATTTCATCAAAATCTGTCGAGTGCTTTTCTCATGATGCGTTCACAGACAGACAGACAAGAATTCTAAAAACTATAGATTCGGCCTCTGTATCGATAATAACGTCTATTTCAATGAGATTTTCAAAAAAAAAAAACTTAAATGCAATGTTTCTAATGTGAGGAGATGTTTCAGATTTTAGTGGGTTTAAATAAAAAACACACTAACACTCCAGTTTAATAAGAAGTATATAGTAATAGTGTTGCTTAGTAATTTGTCTTTTTAAATAATAGCAAACTAAATTAAAATTATTATTCTTAATTAACTTTAACTTTTTAAATTACACATAGAACAATTATGTGGCTTAAATAATTAATATTATATGTTATATTTTTTCTTTATGTTTATAAATATAATTAATGGCAACACTAAATATAGATTACAAATTAATATTTTTAAAATTGTAATAATTATAATGCTACCAGCAATAAATAAATAAATAATATTCCATATTCAATTATAAAACTAATTAAAATTATAAAAATGTTTAAAATTAAAAAGTATTGTAAGATAATTGGTGCAATTTTTATTTTGTTATTTGTGGGTAGGCTGTCTGTAACTACTATAACTTCGAGGCATCTAACACCTCAGTCTCTCCCGTGACCATGATTGCTGTAAAGCATTCGAAACGTCAGGAACCAAAAAAATCCGAAAAGATAGTTTTATTTAAAATATCAAATATTCGCGTAAATCTAAGAAAGTATAAACATGTCATAAGCAATACACAAATGTACATATTTCTTCAGAAAACTTAGATCTTTTGGATCCATCGACTTACTCGTATATAGCTTACATAAGTTATAACAAAAAACAAATTGAATTATTACTTTTCTTCCTACTTCAATAATAACTATATCAATATTGAAATGACCGAAATAAAACTGTTATCTGAGAAAAAAACAATAAAGCGATGTTAAATATAAAAGTTTTACGATCTCATTAATTCCATGACTCCCATCAAGTTTTATGTTGGTAACATTCGCCACTCTTAACTATCGTTTCGATTATATTGAACGATATTTTGCATTTATACTATACGATCGGAGAATTAGCAATTAAGCATTAAATAAAATGGGTTTGACCCTATTATCTGGCTTGGCTTATACTCTTCTAAGGTAGTTGTAGATTCGATTTTTGTACAGGACAAATATCTATGTCGACTATATAGACATTTTATTGTTTTAATTTTAGACATAAACAAGATTCTCATTAATTTGTATTCTTATTAACTTTAACTTTGAAGTGATACTCGGAATGAATATATTCTGGAGCAATGGTGGAGCCAATAAGCATTTTTGTATATTTTTTTTAAAAGCTTTATAATCTAGTACATATAAATCTAGTACGTATAAATAAAAGTCTTTGGATTTTCTAGAAAACTACCAAAAACAAAGTATTCATTCGCTGTCTGCTCACTGCACAAAGGAGAAATGTGTAGTTACGAATAAATATAACATTCTAGAATAGGTAAAATAACAAAATTTCAGTTAAATCAAAAATACTACATCCTGTGGACAGTTATGGCGCCGTTATTCATTTTTAGAGAGGAAAAATTTATTCATACAAACATCGAAACGTTCAATTCACATATTTTATAATATATATATATATATATATATATATATATATATATATACAAATAATGGAAATTTTCGCGATGTATAAAAATTGGTTTCCAATTTTTTCATTCAAATTTGTTTACCTTAAAAGCAAATGTGTGTGATTTTGATGACTTCATCAAAAAAAAAAATGTTGTCGTTGTGTTTTTTTCTTTTCATGATAGTATTTATCTTAATTCACATTATGGTGTATATATATTATTGTTTATTAAGTTAAAAGCCTTACGCGTTTCAGTCAAGGTCAATAGAATAGTAAAAGTTATCGCGTTTTTACTTATGTTGTAATCTTATAACATTAAATGAGGAATTCTTGTATATGCATATTACATATTATCTTTATATATATAATTCTTCTGTGAGTGTGTATGTCACTGAACTTCTCTCAAACGACTGGACCGATTTTGATGATTTTTTTTGTGTGTGTTCAAGGGGATCTGGGAATGGGTTAGATTCACAATTTGAATAATAATTTTCATCAAAATGGTCCAGAATGTTTTAGCTTATTAAAAAAAGTTTGAAATTTTCAAATTAAAGACGTGTAGACAGGACAACGTCTGTCGGGTCCGCTAGTGTATGTATATAAATTTATTTCGATTCGATATTTCGATCTAACTATTTGATTCAAATTTTGTATTTAGACAAGGTTTTGCTTTATAAGTTTACCTATATATGTGTTTCTTCTGAAAAAAACGAAATTTTCATTTGTTTTCCGAAAAAAACATGATATTACAACAACAAAAAAAACGCAGACTGAATCTCGGTCGTCCAGTACACTAGTTGTGTTTGTTTAGCCTGTAACCATGCAGTGCAGATTGAAGTGATATATTTTGTAGAGATAGTTTGTAGCCCTAAGGGTAAAGCTTTACTTTTTATTTGTCTATATTAGATTCAAGCAAAAAAAAATAATTTTTAATGAATATTAGTATAAAATGTTTATTTTTTAAGCTATATTACTCTAAGGCAGATTCGAATGAACGTCAGTATGGTTATAGAACAAGTATTTATTCCACGTGAGTCGATTCCGGATCCTCCGTATCAAGACGGTCTGAATAATTTGTTTCGACCGTCGAATCGGAGGTATATTTTCATTTATCCAGTAGGGGAATGAGATATCCGGTTATCACGTGATTTCATCTAATAGCCTTGTTTTTGCTTCACTAAATTGTTACAGAAAAGTTAGATCTGGCCTCTTATACTTTGCTTACATGGAAGTGTTCTCTGATTACTTATTTGATTTATTGTTATAGTTATGGCAATTGGAACTACATATCTACTGTAATCTATACATATAATAAAATTCTAAGTCGAATCTGTACGGATAAAATAAATATTTTATAGAAAATATTATTTAAATATTCATTATTATCGATATACTATAAATTATAATAATAAGAATATCAATACAAGAATCCTCAAGTTCATGCTAACAAATCAACGCTAATAAAAAAAAAATTATAATTCAAATAAGAGCTTTTTAGCTTGAGCTGATTGATAAGATGCAGTTTTTATTATATACGAAATGTGTATTTTAGTACTCTATCTGAATACTTAACCAAATTGTACATTGTTTCAAAAATATAACTTCTACCGATTCTTTCCTGGTCTGCGATAAATTTGTTAAGTTACCTAGAGTAGTTCAGCTATACTAGAAATATCTTGTACAAAATAAACCTTCTCGTCTTTTGACAAATTGAGCCACATCAACTATCGGGCAAACTTTCGTGCCTTATTCAAACTTATACAATATTTAACAATGTTGCCTGCTTGCTTAGAAATAGAATTTTTATTTCACCTGTCACTTTCATTTGTATGAATGGTAAAAAATAATGGTACCGTAACTATATTGCTAAAATGTAAATTATTGTACTTCTGGTTGTTTAAAATGTTAACCCCTGTTTATTTATAAACGCCTGTCAACTTCAATCTATTATATTACATTACTTATTTAATAGCTTCTATGCGTGTCAGTTTAGTTCAAATTATATATTATATATATATATATATATATATATATATTTATTTTATATTAAATTATATATATATTTCGCAAATATCACGTTAAACTAAGAGTCAAATCCAAACGATTGCTAAGCAATAATTTTTAATATTCTAAAAAATCCAGGTAGGGGGGTAAATGTCGTTAAAACATTTTTTTTTATTTTTTTAGATTCGAATACGGACTCATGTTATATATTTTAAATTGTTACTATACACCTTTCCTATATAATAAGACCTGATGATGTATGATCTAAACAAAAAAAAGGAATCTACTGAAAATCAGCAAGAATATTCCAGATGATTAATTCAAACATTAAATTCAACAAGTTTTGTGTTGCCTTATAAAATATACGTTGAAATTTCATAATATACGGGTTATTATTATAAAACATATAGTTAATAGTTATTAATAAGAAAGGAAAAACTTAAAATAAGAAACAATATATAATCACCCTAAAAGAAAGGCTTTTATATATTAGTACATAATAGAACAGAGTATATAAACAAACAGCTTGTAATATTTTAGCGCGTATAACGTAAGCTTGAACAATAAACACTTCCACGAGGCGGCGGCACGTTGCACGGCTGCCACAATACGTTACTAAATACGATTACGTAACTAATATATAGTGTGTCTGAATTACAACAATTTCATCAAAAATAAATTTCCTCTAAATATTTAGTACATTACTTGAAATAATATTAAAATTTTCCCACTCAAGTCTCTGTGCGAGAATTTCTAAGTCAAAGTCTCAAAGCAGTGAGTAATCAAGGAAAAACTAAGAATCAGGTCGCTCTACGAGCCGCGGGTAGTCTTTCACAATGCTACATTATCTCAGAAGCAAAAAAGAGCCATATCTACGCATCATTATACTTTGTCTGCAAAAACCTTTGTCGAGACAACCGCACTGTTCGCAATCCATTAGGACCACGCCAAATGACGCGGAAAGTTGACTTGTACGTTTGTACAGCTTGCAGTACGAGAAATCATATAATACGGGGCCAGACCGCTATTAATGCTCGAATACACGCTGATACACAATCTCGTTTTGATAAATGGAGCAATCTAAGAAGGAAACCCATTAACAAATAAATTTGAAACAAAGAAAAATCTTACCATCACGTTTAACCGTTAAAATGGTACAATTATCATGT